TTTGTTGCTGTTTTAATATTATAATTTTTGCACAAATTCCAATGGATCATTTGTGCTACTGAATTGTGCCGCAATTTATAATCAGTTTATTATTATTATTATTATTATTATTATTATTATTATTATTATTATTATTATTGGTGTCTTCAGAATCGAGACACATAACAACATTCATATATTGAAAAGTATTTGGGCAAACCTTGAAAGCAAGTTGGCCGTGGCAAATTGACTGCAGCAAATTTGTCATAGACCCCTTCATGCCTGGTAATAAACCTTAAGCCCAGTTTCAGCCACAGACACCCACAGTTATTCACCTCTGGGACGCTACCAGTCACTGCAATGATCACAGCAGCCTTCCTCCCTAAACTTAATGTTTCGCTGTACAGGACCTTCAAGTGAGGCAGATTTCCAAAAGGGCTATGACCCTATTTACTGCTTTCTGTTTCCACTGTTAGAAGAAACTTTGTTTAATTCCAGCTTTTGTGCAACAAAAAAATCTGTAACATCTAAAGCAATAAACAGAACTTCAGGCTGTTTCTTCTTTCTTGTTAAGTCCTTCCTTCTTTTCAACCAATTCAGAAAAAAAATGTGATCTTTAACATTTGCTAATTGCTTGAATTTGGGTCAGTTCAGACATCCCGGTTCAGACATCCCGTTGAGACAGAATCAATCAATCAATAGGTTTGCCTCCATTTGCAAGTGAGGGGTTCATGCAATAAAACTTGTCATATAATAATATTCTGTTATAGTTTATACTGTTGTGTCAAATTAGGTCCCTGTGTTAGTGTTTCACATGTTTTCATTGAAAGCTGTGTATAGTTTTCTTGGCTCCAAAGCTTGTGAAAAAAATGTAATGAACATTGCAATCCGTTAAATTAAATTACCAAAATCCACAGTTGGGCTTGTAAAATGGGTCAAATTATATTTCAGTTTATCAAATTGTTGGCCTGGTCCATTTAATTAAAAGTTAAATTAAAGGCAGACATCTCTTCCTTCTTAGCATTCTAACAAGATTGAGGCAGAGCCGGTCCTGGGGTTATTTTGCAATTCTAAATAAACACTATAAGTGGTCTGTATGAAAGTATAAAAATCCACACCAAATGTTTACATATGTTATTAAAAATAATTAGTTCTGTGCTTTTGTGAGTTGACATAATTATGGCTGGAACACTAATAAAATCCATAGTTTAGGTTTATAGAGTTTTGATAAATTATTTTTTTTCCAGGGCAATACATTTTGAGTACAGATTTCTGTAAAGCAGTGCATGGTTAATTAAAAGTTAGTGGAGGAAATATGTCTATAATTATGTACAAGCAGCATCAGAATTTTTGGATGGATGTTTAGTACGTTGTATATTTAATATAAATAACACATATTTCCATCTACCTATTTAATCTGCCTACAGAGATACACCATATTTCTCATACTTCCATCATACTGTTTAAAAAACAAGGCAGTACAGTAAAGGTGCAATGCATTTTGCTTTTCTTATTCACATGCCTTGTCAGTTTTGCAGCTTACTTAGTATACCTCCAAAGATATAACCTTGTACAGATGCTGATTGCCATCATTGAACTTAAAAATATGAAAAGTTTAGGACAAGAGAAAATACTAATAGATGTTGATCTTAAATCTTTTACTGATGTCTTCCAAATTCTTTGTTTCTTGTTTTTAAACAGTCCTCTGCTTGCTGTCTCCTTTGGAATCTGCTGTGCAGTTCCAGCAATAACCTTGCTGGTCCTTGGAGTAAATCCTCTTATTGGTGCCTTAGGAGCCTTCAACATTTTCCTGTATTCCTGCTGCTATACGCCTCTGAAAAGAGTTAGCATTGTGAATACATGGGTAGGAGCTGTGGTTGGTGCCGTTCCTCCGGTTGTGGGTTGGCTAGCAGCAACTGGTAGTCTGGATGCAGGTGAGTATAAAGCGAAAACCCCATCACATCATAGACAAGAATGGGGAAAATTCCTTTTAGCTTTGGGACTAGCAAAAAAATAACTGCAGTATATAAGTGCTTTGTTTCTCCTAAGTCTCTCTATTACAATAAAACATTCCCTTTTTAATCAACATTTACTGGAGTAGCCTTTACATTTTCCACAATCTATATCTTCCATGTTGAATTCTATAGCACTCCTTGCTTCATATTGATATATGAGTAAAAATCAAGAAGAGGTTCTTGGGCAACATACTCAGTGGCATGAGACTAGCACCCTAATCTCAGGGTGGAAAAGAGTTTTTAGTAAGGATGAGATAACTCCAAGAGTAAAGAGTAAAACACTTAAAAAATACTTTAATAATAAGCTGTTATATCCTGGGAATGCCTCCAGGCTTGGATACAATGGACTTTGTAATAATGGGTAATGCAATAAAGTCACATAAAAAAGGGTAACATGCATATAAACCACACAGTTAGCTTGATTTCTGGTTCAAAGCTGATGGAGATCATGGTTTATTTTAAAAAGCTTAGAGGTAGTGCAGTTCTAGAAAAGAATAGTATTGATGAATTGAAAAGATGTACAGTATTTATGTGGTTATGTAAGATTCATCTGTCACTGCTAGGTACTGTTAGTAGTTGACAGGTATAGTCTGCAAGATTGCTTTCTTTAAATGCTATTTGATTAACAAAAAATCTTGGCAAGATAGGATTTAGAGGTTTTGCCTCATGGATTTCACAAAGGTACCAAGAAGAGAAGTGAAGTAGATCCTGAAGTAGGTATTTTGAGCTATTTGTACAACATCTATAGTACACTTGAGCCAAAATGGGAGTAGACTGCTATTTTCTGAGTAGGGAGATGAGATGGTAGCACAACTTTTCAGTTGATCTCTAGGAGAAACCAGAAACTGGGGGTCATGTGTTTTAGAAAATCCTTACCAGAAGGTTAGAGTGATTTCCTTGTACCAGAAGTTACATTTAGCCTGTGATTTTCAATAATACTCTGTTTGGATGTGTCAAAAACCAAGCAACCTGTTAATGTGCATATCTGTTCTGTGAAATTACCTGTGCCTGATCTCTTCCTGCTTAGCTTTTGCCACCAGCATTTTCACATACCTTGAAATCTTGCTGTCTATTCATTCCTAAGATATGAGCAATCTTTTAATAGCCAGGGGCTGTGCTTACCTTTTTTTTTTTAGGCCGTGATGGAGTGATGGTACAAAGTGCATGGGGTGATTTTTTTCTCTTGAATTTTAGAAAAAGTTGAGGAGTTTGTTTAAATATATATATATGTTTAGCCAATTTTAGACTTTACAATTGTTTTCCTGATTTTAAAACCTGAGACCAAAGGTGGCTTCACCTATGCCTTTGGTACCATGTGAAAACACTGCCTTTTATTGATCTTTCATGACCTCTTCCAAGCCAGTCTCACAATGCATGTGCACCAAAGAGACAATTTCAAGTCAAAGGCAAACAGTGGGACTGTTCAAGTACACCCACTTGCAAGGAAAAAAAAGTGTTCAAAATAGCCAGAATCAATAAGTCTAGGAGTTCAAACATAAGTTGACAATTGGTCTGAGTTCCAAGGGGCAACTTCCATAGGTAACAGGTTCAAGGAGACATGCACAAAGTTACAATAACCAAACTGGTTGTTTCCAACTGAGGTTGCTGGTATCGATAGTCGTATCTGCTTCTGATGTAAACAACAAAAGCAGGACTACTCTGGCAGGCGAGAAACCATGCAAAATGCCTTTGCGTTCCTTGACCTTCTGCACAATGTACGTTAGGACTGGAGGGAAGTCTTGGATCTAGCTCCTCATCATGTTTCCCTGACTACTAGGCTCTTCCACAGTCTCACATTTGTTCAATACCCTCCAGCAATTCCAGGTGTCCCATCTGGTGCATCAAATAGCATGGATCAGAACCTAC